AGAGAGAGAGAGAGAGAGAGAGAGGTTTAATAGAATTATGCAAGCTAATTGCTGTAAGTTTATCAAACTCATTTTTTTTATTTCATTAATCACAAGAATAGGGAAAGTGTTTCTGTGCTTGGTCTTCTTGGTGTGAAGTGAGGTTAGATGCATTGTGCAGGTTAGGATGTTAGATAACCGATGGTTACCAGGTCCTTGTGCATCAATTACTGGCAATGCGTGCGTTGAAGCCTTTGTTGCCTGGTGGTTGAAAGTTTTGAAATCCAACCAGTCCGTGAAAACCTATATCCATGTAAAATTTGAGCCGACTCTTGAGTCCATTAGCCCGGGTATGCAATAAACTTTCTTTTTTTATGGCGGTGTTGTTTCCAAAACTGTGGTACATGGCTCAATGAGTATACATCCCAACCATTGTTAGAAAAACAGGGATGATCTAACTGCTAACCGCTCGGGTACGATTGTCGACTTACCCAACTAAAAGATAAAGAATATGGGTAAACTTGATAAAGTAAGTGCTGCAAGAAATTGATTTCAAGGAGTTCTAGACTCAAAAAATGAGAGCTACACTTACAATCTCCCCTATGGAAGTTTGCTTATCTTGGTAGGTTTTAGGCGGTTTGCCTCTTCACTTTCTTTTCGCTTCCCATGTCCTTTCTCTCTCAATTACTCTCTCTAATTCCCTTCTCTATATCCTTGCACTTCCTGTCTCTCAATCCTCTCTATTAACCATGACTTTTCCATCTCTAACTCCTCTCCCGCCATGACCTTTCCGTCTCTTAACTCTTCTCCAGCTAACTGCGTCGTTTCTCTCTAAGTGTACCTTTTCTCATTTCTCTCTCTGGCAGTGCCTTCTTTCCTTATATACTTTCTCTATATGATCGTGCATCTTCTCTTTCTAACTCGTTATTCTCTCTAGTTATGCATTTTCTTTTTCTAACTCCTCGCAATGCCATTTTTCTCTAATGGTGCCCTTTCTACCTGTAACTCCTCTATCTAATAATGTCAAATTTTTTTCTCTATAAGTCATCTCTGTATTCTTTCTCTCTCCACGTCCCCTCTCTCTCTCTCGTTGTGAAGCCGTAAAATGTTAGGTTGACCCACTATTGAGCCTGACCTCTATATTTCTACATGGGTTATCAAATAAGTATCTTAGAACTTCCAGATATCAACATTTCGAACTGTGAGGAACCTAGAACTCTCAAGTGAATACCGGCTTCCCGTTACGAAACAATATGAACACTTTTGCTTGGTGGAAATGACTTAATGTAGATTTTTTTTTAAAAAAGAAACTTTTAGGATCTGCTTTAGAAGAACTGTGTGGATATAATTTTAAAGAAAATGATTTTGTGGTTCCCAAGCCATCTGTCCAAATATTTGAATGGTCTCTCTCCTGTAGTAGGACTAGAAGTTTTAAGATAAACAAGAGTTGAACTTTTTGTTTCTTTTTTAAATTAGCAGTAGGTGGAGCTGATCATATGAGAGATTAGGATTAACAATTCGATTTGGTCATGAGTGGACAAACGAGGACTTTTTTATTTTTCTGTTTTGAGACGTGGACAAACCTGGACTTTATCGGAGGAAGTGATCATCTGCTACCTTTTTTTTTTTCTTTCGAAACTCCTTTCAGGGGGATGAGTACGTAACCCCATCCTTAATTACAATTAGGGCTGGGAACTTATCCGGACTAAACCAAAGACCCGACTACCCGATCCGGTCTTGGTCTGGGTATGGGTCCAAATAAAAAAATTAGGTAGGATCTGGGTCTACGTGGACCTGCCCCAGACCCGATCCAGTTATTTTAAAATATTATATACTTCAGTGGTAACCAATGGCCTAGAATGAATCTGGGCTCAGTCTAATGGTCATGACCTTAATTCGTATTTGAATTTTCATTTTTTTTATACAAATCCAAATAACTTGAAATTTTGAGCGTATATTATCCAAAAATAAGAGAATATAATAAAAATATAAAAATAATAATTTGTAAGATATAAATTGACTAAAATACCCTTGAAATGTTTCAGGGGTATTTGATTCAATTTATATTTTACGAATTTTTTTTTTATATATTTTTATTAAGTGAGCATTGATGAGAAGAATAAATGCTTAAAATTTCAAGTGATTTTGATTTGTAGGAAAAAATAAAAATTCAAATAC